AGGGGCTCCCAGGAAAGCCAGTGGGGAATTCTCCTCCCTTCTATAGGGGCTCCCAGGAAAGCCAGTGGGGAATTCTCCTCCCTTCTATAGGGCTCCCAGGAAAGCCAGTGGGGAAGTTCTCCTCTTCTATAGGGGCTCCCAGGAAAGCCAGTGGGGAATTCTCCTCCCTTCTAGAGGGGCTCCCAGGAAAGCCAGTGGGGAAGTTCTCCTCCCTTCTAGAGGGGCTCCAAGGAAAGCCGGTGGGGAAGTTCTCCTCCCTTCTATAGGGGCTCCAAGGAAAGCCGGTGGGGAAGTTCTCCTCCCTTCTAGAGGGGCTCCCAGGAGGAACCGATTCTACAGTGGGATTTTTGCTGTCGCTGAGTGCCATGCAGTCACTAGACCGTACAACAGAACACAGCCCTGCCGCGCCCGCGCCATCCTCACAATTGTGATGTTTCGGCCCCTGTTGCAGCCACTGTGCCAGTCCTTCTCGTGGAGGAGCCTCCTCTTTTCTGATGAATTTACCCAGCGTGAGATCCCACTGGTAACCTGGCCGACCTGCACGAGATGAAGTCTCACCATTGTTGCCTCTCAGGGGTCTTCTAGCTGCACTTCCTCCAAGCCAGGTTGGTTTGCTCTGCCAGTCCACGATATTGTCAGCATTTGGGGCCAACCCCATATTTCAAATGCACAGATTCACCTGCGGTCGCCCTTGGTCAGCTACCCCATGCGTACGAGGTAGATGGAAACAGCGTGGCCTGGATCAGGCGGACTCTCGTCCTCAGAGGGACATTCGTGCTCCTCAGCACGTTACAGAGGTATCGTGCCCAATACAACACAATGTGTCATGTGACTTCTTGAGTGCTGCTTCCCTGGATAGCGCATCTCAGCAAAGTAAAGTCCTCGACAACGTGCACCTTTCCTCCCTTTATCGTGCTGTTGGCCTTTGGCCCAGCTGCACGGATTATGGTTTGCTGGGGTTAAAATCCATACCAAAGGCTCCAGTCTTTGATTTTCAACAGCAAGCCAGTAGTAAGCTTGTTTATTTTTATTTGATCTTGTCCACAGTGATAGTGACTAAGAAGAGCTTCAAGGCCACGTTGGGTCATCCTTAATTTTTGTGTTTTTCAGTGTAATTTTGCATGAGCTAGTGTTTGTGTGTGTGTGTGTGTGTAAGAGAAAGCTTTATATCAAGAAGCAATTATGCATCAATAAAACATCCCGGCCCAGTCCAGATTAAGTCCATGAGTTCAATATTAGCTTGTGAATCTGCTATTTGCCCATGAATTCCTCTCAAGACTTATGCAACACATGCAATGACACAGGCCCTTGGGTGGAAAGTCTTATGGATCCAGTGGCAGCGGAAGCATCTCAATGCTGGCAGGGTCTCCATGTGCTCCTCCAACTCCAGGACTCTAGTGTAGCTCCATGTGTCTTGTCAGCAGGAATGTCTCACAGGGAGTGAGTGTGTGTCCCGCCTCCAGCAAGCTATTTATCTATTTAGCGCCTCCAAATGAGGACCTCAAAATGTGACCTGATTGACAGGCTAGTCTGAAATTGACAACAGATTATGCAATTCCCACAATTTATCTCTCAGACTTTTTTTCTTTCCTGGTTTTGAATTTTGTTCCTTATTTTCATCCCGTTGTATTCAGGGAATCCTATTGCGAGCCCTTTCAGGGTTGGCAATGGTGGTAGCCAGACACATCTTGTTCTGATCACAGAGTGCTGGAGGCTGGGCTTCATTGGTCCATTGATCCTTTGGACTAGCCCGTTCTTTTAGTCTTTGCTCTTGTTTTCTCTGGATGGGGACAGACCAGTTGCTGTGCCTTAGATGGCTGTTGACAAGCATTCAAGACGCCATTGCTACTCACCAACATAGGATGTAGAACCTTCTTTTTTTTTTTTTAAGTCATTTTATTGGGGCTCATACAACTCTTATCACAATCCACCCATCCATTGTGTCAATCACATTTATACATATGTTTCCATAATCATTTTCAAAACATTTTCTTTCTCCTTGGAGCTGGTGTTTTTTAAAGATATTGTTTTAAAGATGATAGCCCTGCTTTTGCTGGGAAAGCTAATTTTTTGGTCATACTGTAGTTTCTCCTCTTCCCCCATTGATCACTGTGCCCTGAAGACAGTGGACATCGGTCAGCCCCCTTCCTGAACCAAGAACAGCGCTGGGGACCGAGCTGAAGCTCTTAAGACTGGATGATCTGTTTAACAGCAAAACTGGAAAAGAAAACCAAGAAACCCGGGACACAAGCTAATGCCTGTGAAAGACAGCAGGTGGCAGCATTTCCCCTCCTGGTTAACCAGTGGGCACTCGGCAGGGCTCTATTAAACATGCTTTGGGTTGGGTCCTGGGGAGGGACATTTTCTGGTCATCCAGTGGGGCTGACTCCACCCTCTCAGGCTGGAGCAGGTGCAGGGAGAGGACCGGGATGGAGAGGAAGGGGAAGTCCCCATGTCGCTCTGTGCTTTGGGAACAAAGAGGCGGCCAAACTAGGTCCTCCCACCCTGAGGTCCGCCATGGCCGATGGCGTGGGCTAGAAGGAGATGGGTGGGTAGCAGCTTGTCCTGCCCAGCCCGGCAGTACTGTCCATGGGTTCTATTTCTATGAGCATTTCAAGGCCGTGAGAGGCTAGATCCCCAGAGGCAGGGCCCTTCTTTCTCCGTGCCAGTAGCCTGCCTCTTCCTTCAGCCTTTCCAGGTACTGAGTGGGTCCTGCAGACTCAGAGCGAGTGCAGAAGAGCCACTGGATGCAAATAGCATCGCTGCTGCTGTTTACTCCCTGCCATTGAGTTGATTCCGACTCCTAGCGACCCTGTAGGGCAGGGCAGAGCCGTTCCTGTGGGTTCCCAAGACTAAATCTTTACAGGAGTAGAAAGCCTCATCTGTTCCTCCCGAGGAGCAGTAGGTGGTTTCGAACTGCTGACCTTGAGGTTAGCAACCCAATGTGTCATCCATTTCGCCTCCATGAACCCAACACAGGCCCCTTCCTGCCCAGGGCAGACCAGGCCCCATGGTCTGTCTGTTGCTGGGTGTGGTTATGGAAATGGATAAGGAGCAGGCTCAGTGGGTGCAGTGACTTCTGGGCCAAGCCTCTGCATCAGGGGGCAGCTCCCCACAAGCGCCATCAGGGCTGTGGCCTCAGCCTGTCGCATAACAGCAGAGAGACAAAGGCTAGAGGGTGAAAGTTACAAGGAGGCATTGACCCTCAGGAAAGGGAAGTTGTTGCTACACTGCACAGGGTTGATAACCCCGTGAAACCACTAATTACGGTAGTGATGGAACGCTTCCAATGAAAAGACCTGCGGGCTACACGCGTGCTCCTTGGGGTTTGCAGCACAGACTCGAGTCCCTGTTCAGTGGATTGGAGGGTTTTGTTGGAGCAGACTCAACCAGGAGTAATTCTCAGTTTATCCGTTTCATCTGACGAGTTCCTGCCTACAAGCCTGCTCTGGATCCGCGTCCACCCTCGAGGTTTCGAGACGAGGGAATGCAGGCACCGAGAGGCTTGCTCAAGCTCACCCAGGAATCCAGTGCCTACCATCAGAGTGGCAAGTCAGTTCCCACTCAGAGTGCGCCCGTGTGCAGCAGATCCTCACACTGCCCGGGGCTGCACCCCCTCCCGATCATTGCTATGTCCGAGCCCACTGTTGCAGCCGTTGTGGCAATCCGTGTTGTCAAGGGTCTTCCTCTTTTTCTGTTAACTCTCTACTTCCCTGTGCCGGCTCCCCAAAAGGGAGGGAGGGGGAGGGGAGAAGGTGGTGGCAGTGAAACTTGGGGTCCGTCCTGGGTTGGATGGCTTGGTTTGGCACTAGCCCTCTGAAGCTGGACAGCGGGGCAAGAGCCCTCATTTCTATGAGCACAGCGAGGGCTACGGGGCTGCTGGAGTCAGGGTGGAGAAGTCGCTGGAGTGGCTGCAAGGAGACAAATGAGCCTGCAGGCAGCGCGTCTGTTACGGACCACGGTCTACAACACCAGAGCCCTCATTATGCTGGTAGTGTTGGCTATTTATATCCGAGGGCAGGGAAGCCTCCCAGTGTTCTGGTTCCCTTCCAATGATCCAGAACAATGGGGAGCCTTGACAAGGCTGCTGCAGGGTTGTGGGATAGTCCCAGCACCATCCTGCCTCCCACCAGAGCCTCCCTCGTCCCAATGAGTCTCATCCCAAGATCACACACATCAGCCCTGAGAAGAAAACATAAGGTAGCTGGCTCCGGGGCCCAGCATGCCACTCACATGTGACCCGGCTGCTTGGCTGAAAATGCCCTGGCTTGAGAAATGGGGAGCCCATCCTTGAGCAGGCTTGTCGAGGGAGCGGAGGGGACGGTCGCATTTTCAAAGCAGAGCGCTCAGGAAGCATCCCCCAAGAGGAGGTTGCAGTCCTGAATGGGAAATGGAGATGTTTCCTGTGCAGCTTTGAGGGCCTACTGTGTGAGTGCTTTCTCTGCTCATCCAGAAAGAAGAGAGATGGTGGACAGCTGCGAGCCGCAAGCCCCACAGCGCTTACCTCCTCACCATTCTGGCCCAGCTCTGCTTTGGGGGGGAACAGGGGGAGAGAGCAGGGCGGCTTCCTTCTTGTTGGCTTACTGGCTGGTGTCTGGAAGGAGGCGACAGACAGACATACAGAGAGAGAGAGAGTGCGTCAGGCCCAGAGAGGAAGAGGAAGGAAGTGGAAATGGGTTGGGGCAATGTTGAGGGAGGTATGGAGGAGAAAGACGGGGTGGGGTGAGGGCTTTGAGTGCTGTGGGGACCACACTTGGATCATGTCAATTGTTTAACTCAACAGCCACCCATCAGCCTTTCAGCCTCTCCGCTCCGCTCCCTCTCCAGCTCCAGCACCAGCGCAGCCACTTTACCTTGGGAGGGGCACCCCAATCTCCCAACACCTCCCACACCCAGCCTCCAGGCAGCAGGAGGTTCTTCACCCTTCGTGCTGTTCCTTCAGGGTCTTGAAAGGAACCCAAACCATCCAAGCTCCCTGGCATCGAGTCCACAGGACAGGGGAGGACTTCCCAGAGGGCTTCCCACACTGCAGCCCTTTACGGGAGTCTTCTGGTCTCCATGGGCCAGGAAGTCCCATCAGGGCCTGTTTTTTTTTTTTTTTTAAGAATCTGAGTTCTGTTTGCAGGGAACCTCTTCAAGTGGGACGCAGCCAGGCCTGGCCCAGCTGTGTGAGGGTGATGAACATGAAGATGAAGTGGTCTTTATCTTAAAAGGAATCCACAATGTAATTGCTGTCACTAAATGGTTGTACACGTGAGAAACAGAGGCGGAACTGCCAACAAATGCTATGTTACAGAGATACAGTGTCTCTACGGACACATGTGTGTGTGTGTCCTCTCAAGAAATGAATCCAGACGCCCCTCTCCACCAGGCAGGGCTTGCCTCTCACGGCCCCTGGCTCCTTGCAGAAGGCCTGGGCACAAGGCAGAGGCCATGGCCACATTCCTGGCATTCAGAGGGACCCCTTTCTGGCTTCTCTTCCTAATTTGGCAATTACCAAGCTTCCTCCTCTCTCTCCCCAGGCCTGACCCAGACTTCCCCTTCCTCCAGCCCCGCCTCCCAGAAGAGGGGCTCCCAGGGCCCCTGACTCACCTCCTTGGCTGCAGCTGCCTGCTCCCTAAAGCGCCCTGCCAGCTGGGCCACTGAGGGGGGTGAGGAGTTGTCCACATTGGCGTTGGTCTCTGCCGGTCTTTCCTGGCAAACCAAGGAGATGAAGCAGAGTTAGTTAGCAAGTGTGTCCTCTGGGCTTTTTCAGCCTGGCGACAGGCACTGGGTGACACAAAGTCCCTTGTGGGGCTACACACAGGAATGATGTGGCCATGAGGGGGTCGAGAGCATTTTGCAACTGGCTCCTGCTTAAAGGATTTCAACAAACAAAAGATGCAGTCAACCATGCTTGGTGAATACTGGCTGTGTGCATGGCCTGGGCCTGAGCTGGGTGTGTGTGTGTGTGTGCGCGGGGTGGGGTGGGGTTCTGCAGAGGAAGCAAATGGTTCCCTGTTCAACAGGGGTCTCAGAGGCTGTACAAGGCCCTCAAAGACCCTATCTGTCAGTGTAGAAGTATCTTGCTTTTGTGCAGGCGGGCTTTGAACAATGGGAGCTGGTAGAACACCTCTGGGGAAAGCCTTTTCACTGGAGGGCACTTACCACCGGTAAGTAGCAGAGCGAATATGCACTGCACTGATGCCTAAGGGATGTGAGGGGCGGGGAGCAGGGTGGGGAAGAACTGATGGTCGGGGTTCAGCCTCTGACGGCTCCGTGTCTGCTGAGTTCGGTAACCTCGGGTAAATGACTTAACCTTTCCATGGCTTGGCAGGGATGTTTGTAGCACACCGCACAAAGCTCTCCTGCGTATTAAAGGATGCACTCAGAAGTACTGGGACAGGGCCTGGTATAGACGTGCTTTGTAAGTGTGGCTGTCATTAGTAGAAGCAATCAAGTAAAAACAAACCAGCCTCCTTCCCCATCCCCCAAATCCAGTGCTATTGAGTTGATACTGACTCACAGCCCCTTATCTGTATGTGGTTTCAGACTGTAAATCTTTCTAGGAATGGACAGCTTCAGCTCTCCCCCAAAGAGTGGCTGGTAGGTTTGAACTGCTGATCTTGTGGCTAGTAGTCCAATGTCTAACCCACAGCACCCTTCAGGCCAGTGGCACTCTTTAAAAGAGCATTCTGAAGATTTAAGTGCTACCTCCACAGAGTCGGCACTGAGAGGGATGGGCCGCTTTCCCCTTCTCGCCCTTTGTGCTAACAGAACAGCACGCACATTCGTTTGTGAGGGCTGATGTCCATGCGCCTGTTCTCCACCCACTGCAGGGATCCGTTCATGGTGGGGTTCACTGTGGATCCGTGCCCGAGTGGAGAGGTCTTGAGAGCAGACTGTCCCACCTCCATGTGCCATTTGTCACCTGGGCACAGAGTGTGTTCACGAAGGCTGGACATAGTCCCCTTCCTTGGGCTTTGTCCCATTCTGTGGCCTCTGCAGCCCCCTGGTTGTAATAACATGTCGTTGTTGTTTTAAATATCCACTTGCAGAGCTAACAGACACCTGTGGGGTTTGGGCATCATGAAGAAGGCCTTTCTTACACAAACTGTGCTGGCCCTCTGCCACTTCCCCTTCTCAAATCTACTCCCAAGCTCGGAGGATCTGGGGAGCACTTTGCCTGAGAGGTATCGCTGCCTTCCCGGGAGCTCTCGGCTATGAAGACTGGGCATGCTCCCTACCAGCAGTAGGTGTGGGTCCCCACACAGCTCTCCGTCACCCATGCATGCAGGCGCGAATCCAGCCACACACACGCTTCCTGTTGTGGCTCTTGTCTCCTCAAGTCAGTTCTAGCTCACAGAGACCCGATGTCCAACAGAACGCAGCCCTGCCCGGGCCTGCGCCATCCTCATCATTGTTCCTGTGCTGGAGCCCATGGCTGCAGCCACCGTGTCCGTCCGTCCATCTTGTCGAGGGCCTTGAAGGCCTTCCCTGGTTTGCTGCCCCTCCACTCTGCCAAGCAGGATGTCTTACTCCAGGCACTGGTCTCTCCTGATAGCCTGTCCAAAGTCTCACCACCCTGGCTTCTGCGGGAGCTCTGGTGGCAGAGTGGGCTGCACATTGACTGTTCATCACAAGGTCAGCAGTTCGAAATCGCCAGCTGCTCCTCAGAAGAAAGATGAGGCTTTCTACGCCCATAAAGAGTTGCAGCCTCAGAAACCCCGGTCCTGTGGGGTCATTACGAGTTGGAATGAGCTCCATGGCTCTGAGGGATTTTGCTTGTTTGTAGGACACACTTCGCAGGCCCTCACTATTTGGCTAATGGCATTTCTAAGGTTTCTTATTTGTGACCTCCCTCCAAAGTAATGCCAACAGTCCCCTGTGGAGCAGGGGAGTGGCAGGCACACCCCCACCTGCCCCTGCCCCTGGTGACAAAGTTAATGAATGGAGACAAAGCTTTGTGACAGAACCGTGTTTAGAGATGAGGAAGAACTGATGGGCAGGGGGACTCCGGGTGGGAGCCGGGAGTGGGTTCTTCCGGAGGAAAAGGTAGACAGAGCCCTCTTCACTCTCCCTGTTCCCTGCTAACATCCAACCCCCCCCTTTCCCCGCCTACCTACCAAATGGTGAGTTATAAAGCAATCCACCTCTAAGACGATTGTGGCCATGACTGTACAATGGGTCTTGATGTGCATGAATCCCTGGATTGCATGCCATGGGGACGAAGTGCCATTACAACGGTTTAAATAGAAAAAATCCACCTCTACTCAAGACGTTAGCTTTCCCCATAAGGCTGGGGGCAGCCAGGGGACCCTTCGCTCAGTCCGGTTAGACTCCCTAGGCCTCACACCTGCTTGACCTTCGCATTAGCCGGCTTGGGTGGGGGGAGGGAGTGGAGGTGGACACCTAGTCTTCCTAGAGCCCAGGGGAGACGTCAGGACGGTGTGTGAGAAAATGAGGCATGCTGACGGGTCTGTCCATCTGCCCGACTTCCTGCCTCCATAACCGATCCTTCCTGCCTCCATAACCGATCCGTCACTGCTATTTATTGCCCGGGGCCTGCTGACGGCGCACTTTACCTCAGCTGCAGAGGCGCCAGTCACTGGTGGCACCGAAAGAGACATTCTAGCTAAAAATAGAGCTGTCCGCGAGTCCAAAAATGCCTCCTGGCTTCTCTGTCTCGAAGCCAGGCTTGGCAAGGAGCTCAAGAGAGAGAGTCCTCTGAGGCTTCTGGAAGCATTCAGCGGGGTTCAGGGAAGGTTTCAAATGGGTTTGTTGCCTGGAGCTCAGTGAATAGCGTTCCTTCCGACGGTCTAAGGGCTCCATAGTTTCTGTAGATCTGGCAAACTCACTCACCTCCTCTGTGTGGTGGTGGTGGGGTGAGAGTGGGGGTGCTCATCGCCATCATTGCCTTCTGCCAGCCGGTACACTGGAGCCCAGAGACAACAAGTGACAGCCAGAGTCACACAGCTGAAGCAAGTGCAAGAGGGGATCCTCTCGATCCCAACTCTGGCAGAACTTGTGAGTGTGTAGTGTGTTGAGAACCATCAAGTGCAATTGTTGGCCACTGGGCTGCACAGATAGACTGGAAGAGGTGCGGTCATGGGGATGGACAGGGGCCAGGAGTTCAGAGTGTGTGAGGCTTTGTTTGCCCTGATTTCTGTGAGCAGCTCTCCTGTACCAGCAGGTCCGGCTACGGGTGCCCTCTGCTGGGTTCAGCATGGGCCACTTCAGCCCCCAGGCCGGGAGGTGCAGGGAGCCTTCTCTGCAGCTCTCTCTTGGCCCGAGGCTGCCTTGGCAAGGTCCTGTAGCCTCCCTGGTCATTCTGAGAAGGACTTCAGTGTCCCTACCTGCCTCCAGCCTTTCCTGGGCCCCCTCGGTCTTCTCAGAGCATAGCGTTCTCTCTTTCTTCCTCACTTGTCCCTAAGGTGCTCAGCACCCAGCCCGCTAGGGTGCGCTCCTCCACCCTCAGCCAGCACAGCCTACCAGCCTTAGGGCCAGGCCACCTTCACCCAGAGCTTGCAGGCACCTTCGGCTCATGCCCTCAGGCCACACCCGGGGGCCAGGCCCTCCACAGTCTGCTCCCAGTCACTGTCACTGCTTTGATAGCTTGTCCTTTCTTCCTGGTCCAGCGTCCTGGCCTCCAGTCTGGTTTTGCTGGGCTCATCTCTCTTCGGGCCCTGCTTAGGTCAAGCATCTCTCTACAGATCAAATTGCAGACTTCGCTTCCATCTTCTTGGGTCCCCCTCTTGCTCACCAAGCCCTCCCAGTCCCAGCCTGGCTCTGCCAGCAAGCGTTGGAGACCACCGCTGTGGTGACTGACAGGCCGACTTTGCTAAGCCCAGAAGAAAATCACCTCTGGAGTTTATTTTTCAATTCTCTGGGACTTTTTTCTGGGAACCGAGGAGCTGAGGAGCCCCCTGTATCTGGGTGGCACGGAGGTGCCCCCCTCTGCACCCCCCTCCCAGTTGCCATACTGAGTAAGTACCATTTGGAGGCTGCCCACCGTTCACATAGAGGAACCTTTGTGTCCAGGTCAGGATTGGCTCTATCTACCTCCCTGGGCCTGCCCACCTCTGTTTTGCCACCCTGCTCCTTGGTCCAAGGACCGAGTGTCTGACAAGCTCTGGGCCACGTTTTAAGAAACAAGACACCCAGGATGCCTCTGGCCTGCAACTTGGGAGAAGAAGCAATGAGAAGTTTCTGTCTGGGGGCCTGAGGACCTTTGTCCAGGGTTCAAAGCAATGTCCTCTGCTTCCCACGAAGTCTCCAGTTAACATGCTTGTCGGCTAACTGAGACTAGAGGTTCAGGCCCCTCGCACAGCTGTGTGGGCACCCGTGGGTGCTCTGAAGAGCAACCAAGCAACCAAACCTTGCATCTTGTGGAGGGGCTGGCTCTTTGGGCCTGTTTCTGGTGACAGAACCAGTTGCGGCCACACCATCTCTGAATGATGGTCAGCCCACGTGGGTCCAGAAGAGAAGCGCACTCCACAGGGCTTCCCATGGCTGGTTTTCCACACGTAGACCACTGGGCCTTTCAGCTGAGGCAACTCTGGGTAGCCTCGAACCTCTAGTCTTTCAGGTCGTGACAAAGGCTCCCAGCAGACGACACAGGCAGGACCAAAGGCTGAAGGCCGAGAAGAGAGGGGTGTGCCGGGGGTATAATGTACACAGGGCAGGGCAGGGGGTCTGCCCAAGCTCATGGGGCCTCACGCGCCCTAGGGAGTGGTTGACACTTCATTCTGAGTGAAACGGACACCACTGGAGGGCACTGGGCATGGAGGGTTTTAAAGAAGGAGAGATGCGATAGGAGTTTTACACGCAGCAAGAGGCCGCGGGTGCCAGTGGGATGGAGGGCAGGGAGAGGGCTTGAGTTGGCGTTACCCACAGGGACACAGGCATTACACGTGGGGAGATCGATAGGAGGTGTGGGGGAGGGGAACTCAAGCAGAACTCCTGGGTTTGTACTCAAAAGCATTGTTATGTAATCACAGAAACATTTACGAAACAAAATCGGCAAGATGCAAAACTATTCCTTATCAATGTATATCCTCTGTCCACGCTGACACGCTTCTGGGGACAGTGCTCCCCGCTCTCTGACCCTTCCACAGAGACGTCTCTGCCCTCGGACTGATGCCACATGGAAGCGGCAAGTTGGACCTCCTCAGGGGATTCAAACCGTGTTCCTTTGAAATGTTCGGTGAGTGTTAACACTAAAAAGAAGTCTGAGAGGTGGGGGTGATGGGGGCAAGATCAGGGCTGTAGGGTGGATAGGGTGAAGTTTCTGGGGAAAAATTCTCACAGGACGGCCCTTGCAACTCTCGAAGAATGTGCAAGTTTATTGCTGTGATGGGAAAATAATTCCTCTGTGCAACTTTTCCTCACCAATACGATTTTCAATTTTCTTATAACCTTTTTTTTATACTAAGCTCCTGTGTCCTTCCAGAAAATCTATCAAGATTGCCCCTTCAGGATCCCTAAAAGCAGTTACCATAACATCCTGAGTTGATCTCTGTGCCTTGAATTTAACTGGTTCAGCAGATCTCCTTGGAAACCACTGTTTTGGTTGGACCATTTTTAAGGCACCCAGACAAGAGTGAGACCAGTGTGTATTCCCGAGAGAACTTGTCGACAGCCTCACTGATTCCAGAGACATGTGTCCACAGTTCTGTCTGGATTAGACCCATGCATGTATGAATTGGAACCCGAGGAGTGATGTTTTTGGACTCACTCTTGTCTGGGGAGCTTTATCTTGGGTTGGGAAGATTTTGGTGGGGGTGGGTAAGGAATGAGTAGCTCTCTCTTGTTCATGAACATTTGAACTGCCTCTGAGATCCAAATGGAGATGTGATAGAACGAGCCGAATATGTATATTCCAGCCTGGACTTAATAAGGCAGGTCCAGGATGGAA